GGGCAAGGGAAGGGGGAAAAAAATAAGAACCAAGAGACTCATGTAATGGTACAAGATCCCAATGATGAATGTAACTGTTTTTTATACCTAAAATGTACCAATAAAGTTAATGGGGGGAAAAAAAAGAAGTTGTCAAATTTATTTCAAAACAGATTTTTGAAATATGCTTTCTATATCCTTATAAATTATGTAAAATCTGTGGTAATGTCTCCTAGATCTTGATATTGTAATTTAAAAAAACATATAATTGATATTGTGTAACAGGAAGAAAAGGTCTAAAGGTGGAGAGGAAGTGGGAGGGGTAGGGGAAAGGAAAAAAGGGAAAAGAAAAAACATGGGAAAAGAAAAAGCATGAGAAAACGAAAAAAATGCAAACAAAGTCTTTGCAAATAGGGAAGGGTGGAGGGGGTGAAGTGAGGGCAAGGGAAGGGGAAAAAAATAAGAGCCAAGATACTCAAGTAATGGTACAAGATCCCAATGATGAATGCAACTGTATTTTATACCAAAAATGTACCAAGAAACTTAATGGGACCAAAAAAAAAAAAGAGAGAAGGAGACAAGAATTGGAAATCTGCAGGCACAGATACCAAGGAGTGCCCAGAGCCACCAGGAACCAGAAAAGGCAAGGGAAGATTCTTCCCTAGAGCTTTCAGGGGGAGCCTGGCTCTTCTGCCACTGATATTTTGGACCTGTGACCCCTAACCCCTCAATCTGTGAGGGAATCAATTTCCATTGCTCTAGAAAACCATGCCTGTGGCCATTTGTTACGGCACCCTAGGAAATGGGTACGCACATTCTTCTTTTTCCTTAAAACCCACCGGTTAGATAAGTGACTCCACTTCACTTTGAGCAGGACAAAAATAATTGTTCTAATTTAAAATCCTTCCTCTGAAAACAAAGATGTCCTTTACTGCAAGCAGAGAACTTTATGCTTCTTTGAACTTCATGCTGCAGCTGGAAAATACATAGGTTCATATGAACCCTGGACTCACACTATTTCACCCACACTCTCACCCTTAGTCTGGACAGGGCCCTCCCAAC